AATAAGACATCACATTGTAAACTATGTCAGCAAAATACTCTCACAGTAGCTGCAATTTTGATCCTCACTAGGTGGCTCATTGGTGTGGTTCTGTAGCGTAACGTGTTAAGTCTAATGAAGGTCAATGCATTATTTCTTGGGGAGTTTGCCAGAGAAGATTAACATTAACAAATATCGATTCTCCGAAACCGTGACTTTGTACTAGAATAAATTAATTGCAGAAAATGTTGTGAACAGTTACAAATTTGAGACGTTTGTATGACTTTCTAATCACGGGTTCATTCTACTTCTACAATGAGGATATTCTAAGGTAGCTCGAAACCCCATATCAAGATTTATTATCGGTGGGGGCAATTTTAACAATATAAGATATGCAAATGACACGGTGGTGAGGGCAGGAACAGAAGTAAAACTACAAGACCTCCTAGACAAGGTAGTAACGGAAAAGGAGAAGAAAAAACTAACCATCAACTGCATGAAGACAGAATGTATGGTTATCAGCAAGAGGAAAAGTCCAAGGCGCGAACTCCACGTTGGAGATCAAATCAAACACGTACAGAAGTTTAAATAACTGGGAAGTGTTTTCACAGAGAACGGAAAATTTGACACCGAAATCCGAACGCGTATTGGAATAGCAGAAGATTCATTCCAAAAGCTACGCAAAGTACTAAAAAACAGGAAAATATCATTAGAAACAAAGAAAAAAATTATGAACTATTATATAATAACAATCCTCCTATGTGCCAATAAGTGTTGGACAATCTCCTCACAGATGAACAGAAAAATGGAGGCAACAGAAATATGCTTCTACAGGAGGATGTTGAAAATAACATGGTCAGAGAGCGTGAGCAATACAGAAGTTTTAAGGGAAATAGAAACAAATCAGAAAGCGATAGCTGAAACTTCTTGGACACATAATGGAGAAGTTCTTCAAAAATTAAACACTTATAAGGTATATCGCAGGCAAAAGAGACAGGAAGGCAGCAAGCTACATATCTTGTGAGAACGAATGACAGATTGGGAGTGGGAGAGATGGCAGAAGGACAAACGTTGCTAAGAGCTACATGAGAGAGGAGGTTGTGAAGCTCTATGATCATCTGCATCCTGAATGTACAAGAAGAAATATAATGAATTCACTTGATTTATTTGGGAGGGATTTTTAGAATAATCAGGAAAATCTACTGGGAACAAACTGGATAGAATACGGATAGAAAATGAATTGTGAAACTAGACAAAAATAGAAAATGGCGTAAGAGAATGATAACTAGAAGTGCTACCAAGATTAATTGCTCGTGAGCACAATCTTAACAACATAAGATACGCAGATGACACCGTATTAATGGCAAACTCAGAAGGAAAACTGCAGGAACTTCTAGACAAAATAGTAAATGAAAACGGGACAAAAGAACTAATCAGCAATTGTAAAAAGACAGAATGTATCGTCGATTAGCAAGAGAAGTAATATAAAATGTGAGCGACGGATTCAAAATAATCAAGCAATATCTGTCTCTATCTTTGAGATGAGGTATTATGATTATTTACATTATTCGGACTGTTATCCTCATTATATTCATTGCCATATTCACAACGTTTCGGCCGTTGTAAGCTCCAGTGGACGAAATAAAGAGTTCGGTTCGAAATTCCAATCACCTGAAGAAGGCCGGAGCGTACAACGTTGTGAATATGGCAATGAAAATGAGGATAACAGCCCGAATAATGTAAATAATAATCAAGCAAGTAGAGACATTTATCTGGGAAGTGTTTTAACAGACAACAGAAAATGTGACACAGAAATCCAAGGGCTTATTGGAATAACGAAATATGGCTTCCAAAAAGGTGATTCCCTACACACTATAATCTTGACTTCTTCACGTCAAGGATCAATCGTTATCTATCTTCCTTATCTTCATATTCGCCACTTCCTACCACCTTCTGTTCTATTCATATCGCATAACACACCCACCATTACTATTTCAACTATAACCCTCTACCTTGAGTGGTTCTCGAGCCTTGTATGAAGTAAAATTTATCTAAAAATAAAAAAAGAAGAAGCAAAACAAAAAACACAGCTGACAATAAAAAGCATTAAACTTACTGTCTCCTGTGGTGAAATATGTTTTATTTATTGTGAGTTGTTTCTTTTATATAATAATAGCTTGTTTAATTACATCCCTCGCCCATCATTACCATTTCGACTGTAACTTCTTACCGTCTGTAGTTCTTGTGCCTTGTATTGGGTAATAAAAAAAACAAAAAAACTTCAAGTCGCCAGTCAAAACAGTCTTTTAGTTTTCCTTCCCGCACCTACCATCAATATAGTATCATTGGCGTATCTTATTTTGTTGAGATCATCTCACTTCTCGCTATATAAGTCGAATAAATCTGGTTAGAAAACACATTCTTGTTTTACTGTTCTTAATTTTGCGTATTCGCGGAACTCGTTCTTAGTAGGCGTCCGTTTATCTTGCGGTGAGATAATGACAACGCGTTGTTTGGTCAAAATCCCGTCCTTTGGTGGTGAGACTGAAGCACAGGCCTGGACGATGGTATAGGGAGTTTGTACACTGCCAAGATAACATGGCACCCCACTCGGCTGTACGGACAAAATTCAAACGAATACAAGGCATTACATTGGAGCCGACTTGGCTGCAAGAGATGCTGGAAATTTTTCAGTGTTTCTTCGGGGTCCTACTCCGGATTTTCTGTCAGGATTTAGTACTATAGCCTTTTCCATATTTGGATATGGTCACAAGGCAGTGAAGGTCTAAAATCAGTGTTTTTCCTTCCCTTAAATGGGCTGACGAGTTCCATCTACTCGTTCTTTATCCACATGCAAATCATTTGTTCCCTTTATCAATAAATCTTGTCGCATATTTCAAACAGTCTTCTGTGTCCACCCGCCATCAAATATATTTGTGTTCTCTATGAAACATAGACATAGGTCTTTTCCTGCATTTGTATTTCTCGCACTGATAGCATTTTAATCATAAAAACACATTTCATGTTCTAATGTATTGAACAAGCCCCAATGTCCTTGCCCTATTTCCGGTTTAATTTCGCTACGTGCTCTATTAATCAGTTGAATCCTAATGATTAGTAGACTTATGTCTCATCAAACATATAATCGCTGTGCATATAACCATTGCCATTTACATTATGTCAGCATAAGTGGTGATGAGCAAATCTTAATCTTAAGGCGAGTGTTGTATATTTATAAAAGAAACATTTAAATAACGGAATACTGAAATATATCAGTCGTTAAAAAGATACAAAATTTGTGCGGATTTAAGGACACCTTATTCAAAACAATTTAGTGAGATTCATTATGCTTACACTCCCAAAATTTAAACGGATTGACTTAGCGTATATTTCTAATTCCTGTTTTCAGTAATTTGTTCTTTTAAAAAGAAGTTCAGTAAAACAAGAGATGAATTTAATTAGTACAAAATACAGATAAATACATCCTTAAAAAAATAAATAAATAAAAGATATCGATGTGATTTATGAAGGACACTATGCGAGGATTTTTAGCTTTGTTTAGGCGGGCCAGAACTTATAGGAACATACTAGTAGAAAACACAAATATATTAACTGCATCCACTTGCAAAAAAAGACTAAAAATAATGGAAGCTCTAATAATAATTTAAAAAAATAATAATAAATAAATAAAAAAGAAAAAGCCAACTCTTAACAATATTAACTATGAACAAAGTCACAATGTGCTAACCGTATTCGGCAATTAAAAACATCCCTACCACACACTGATACATACACAGAACGCACACACTCAACTAAGCTGATAATCGAATCATCCTTGATAATGGCTAAAGGTATAGCCGAAAGCGCTCGGAAATATAAAACATTCGGACAGTTCTTACACACCCTTTGTCCAGAAAAGAAAGCTCTTGTCAGAACACAAGAAAAATTAATAAAAAGCTCAACCGTAGTACCTTGTCTATTGTTTTTAATGAAAATATATATATATATATATATATATATATATAGTAAGAGAGGAACATTTTAAACAATATATATATATATATATATATTAATATATATATATATATTTAAATATATAGAACATTTTAAACAATTGTACATGTATAAAAAAATTTATAAACATACATAAGAAAACCTAAATATATAGCAAATTTTAAGCAATATATATATATATATATATATATATATATATATATATATATATATATATATATATATATATATTTAAAATTTACCATATTTTAAAGGAAGGGCACTGATTGTCGCAGATAGACTTTATAGATGAAGAGTGTTAATGCATGGGTCAGCTACACTGCATGATTATTACATTGACGTATAAAAAGGACAGTCACTACTCTCTATCTATCTATCTATCTATCTATCTATCTATATATATATATATATATATATATATATTGAAATTATTGCGCAATATGGCGCAAACATATTTTTATCGGTACTTGACAATATAAAAGGAAGTTAAATATATAAGCATCAATTCATTGAAATAAGATTATTAAATTCAACCGACAAGGTCTGAACTCTACGACCCTGCATCGTACAAGAAGTATAACAGCCCAAAATTAAAATGTGCCCTCATAGTAAGAGAAGTTACTTTGGTCAGCGATAAGATCCGACATCGCAAAATTGGAAAAGAAAAGATGCTCTGAATTCCTGCATTAACTTCGACATTTATACGGAAAAAAAAACGACAAAAAACAATGACCCGGGTGTGCTCCAATTATTCGAAAATTAGAAAAAAAATACTTAAAAAGCAAATAAACAGACAGACGTTATTGGTTGAACTAAATACAACTTATTTAAATAAATATTTTATGACTTTTAGGACACTGAGTCTCGTGCATTCGATCTGACACGAATGATAAGATGCTTTCATTTGGTGATTTGAAAGTTTCGTGCGATTGAGACGTTATCTTGTGTGCAGGCCATTACTGTTGTGTGGATAACCTCTCTGACACCAGACCATCAAAAGTATCGCAATGCGACCCGTTCCTACTTCCGCCTCCGGTCGTGGTGGTTCTGGAGTGACTTGTGCTTTTCCATACCCACGGGTTGCAATGAACCAAGCTGGCCTCTTACCAATGCCTCAGCTAGCGCGATCGGTACTTTCACAAGAAAACGGTGATAAAAATGTCTGAAGCTAAGGAATTCTTACACGGTTAGTTATTGGCTGTTAAAACATGCCATATCTTCGCGTCATCAACTTGAAGCTAAACCTTTGAAATTTATCCTGATTAGTACTATGTATCTGATAAGAAATTCTTCTCAATTCGCACACATTTCTCTCTCCATATATATATATATATGTAAAAGTTCATCGCAACAATTAATCATCAAAGCTAAATTTCGATTAATTAGGCCACCAGTTAATCAGTGCATCCTTTTACTTGAAGTACATGCTGAAAAATAAAACAAAGTATCAACATAATCCTATTCAGTCAGTAATGTTTTCATTAATTCCTATCCACTGACAATCCTCAACCTCATGGAATTCAATGCTTTTTTAATAGTGTGCTTGGAAAGTATTTTTATAGTAAAATCACTTACATTTCATTTTCTAGTAAAAGAATCCATAATGTATTCCCCCACAGTTAAATAATTAAATTGCATTTGACAGTAAATCATTTATAACGCATGTCTTTATTTTTTTTTTAAATTGCAGTGTACCCTTATAAAAGATCTTTTGATAAAGAAAGATATATTGAAAAATAAATATTTTCATGTTAGGATATGGATTTATGCGCACGCGCACACACACACGTGTGTGAGTTCATCTCTCTCTCTCTCTCTATTTATCACTGGCCGTTTAGCTGGCTAACTACCACGCTCTCTCTCTCTCTCTCTCTATCTGTCTCCGTCATTTCATATCTGTATATCCGCCCATCTGTTCCAGATTTTCTTTCTACCTGCCTGTCTGTCTATGACAGACTGTTCTCTCTCTCTCTCTATATATATATATATATATATATATATATAAATTTCTTCGTATATATCTACCACTACTTTTGTCATTTTCTCTCTCTCTTCTCTCTCTCTCTCTATATATATATATATATATATATATATATATATATATATACACCAAATCTAGCGAGTTATTTAGCATCAGCCCTATGAAAATAAAACCTATATAGAACTCTTTTCTCGATATGTTTATATTTAATTTCTTTTCAACTTAAATCTGCTTTCAATTTACTATATTCTTCTAAAATCAATTTATCACGGCAACAAGCCAAAAGTGTTGGACAGAAAGGTATGTACTGAAGTTACTACACGAGCCAATTGTTTTGCTCAAAGATGTAATATGCTATGCACCGATTTATGTAATTATTAACCATTTAAATCCCATTCAACGCATCGCCTCACGTTTCGCTTCTCGGTACAGTTTTCTTATTTGATATTATCTGGTACACTGCCTTTGTAATCGGGTACCCAGTGAGGATAGCGGCTTACAGCCATATCACGTTAAAACATCGGTTCCCATACGATCACCGAAGTTAAGCAACGTCGAGCCTGGTCAGTACCTAGATGAGTAACCACTTGGGAATACCAAGTGCTGTAAACTTGGATGTAAGGGTAGTGTAATGGGTAATATCTCGGAATTGTTATCGGAGAGCCGAGTTCCAATTCCATTTAGGCTCGTTACATTCGTTATATTAACTTACGCGCAAATACCCTTGGGAAATGTTTGAATGCACCTCTTCTTTCCCCAGCTATGGATTAATTAGTAAGCCTTCTAAAACTAAATCATTATTATCTGAAAAAAATTCTTAAAATCTAAAAATATTTTAGGGCTTTAAATAAACTGCAAATAATGTTGATAAGGTATAGAAAACGAATCAATTAAAATCAGTGAGAATCGAACCCACTACAATAATAAAAATATGCGATATATTTTGCTAGCCATTGCACCGCGGTAAACATAGGCTTTTAAGTAACTATCAACAATTTAATTCCCATTAAGGGTATCATCATGTGTTCCTTTTTTTGTACAGTTGATTATCTTTTTTTTAACATTGCTAAATCTTTGCAGTTCCCAACGCTACCGACAGAGTAAATATTTGATGGAAAACAGCTAAGGTTATTTTCTCTCTCTACGTGTTCTATCTTTTCAGAAACATCTTGCCATATTACTGGTCTGTAGGAAGCATTTTTCTTTTTCGTTTATCTATATCACGTTGAGAATAGGCCTTTTGGTTGGCATTGGTCGTGTTTCGTTTTTAGGCGAGACACTGCATAAATGAAGCATGCCTAGTCTCTAGAGATACATCTCCCAGGCTGCACCACCCGGTTACATAAATATAATATCGTCAGTGGTACGCCCTGATACTCCTGCAAAACAGGTAAACTTGCGCTACTTTTACCATTACCAACACACACGTAGGTGGGCCCCCATATTAAATTGAGTTTCGTCTCTTTGTTCATCGAATATGCATATGGTTGATGAGCCATCACTTGATTCTTGCTTAGATTGACTTAGCTGCGTTACGATAGATTTTTTTAGTTTGATTCATTCCCGCCAATTGATGATTTGGGGCTTTCCGGGGAGCTGAAATTGTCAACGAAAAGTAACAATGGGATGTAGCTATAGTCAGACAGTCTAGTTGTTGATGCGAAATTGTGATGTCATTCATGGTCAACATATAATCATTATGGATGGTTTATTTTTTGAGTCGCAAGGAAAAGCTATTAATAATCTCGATATAAGTTGTTTTTAAAACTTTTTCGCGCATTCCATGTGGCTACAAGTATTTTATGCTATGAAATTCTATTATTATAAGCAGACATCGATTAGCTTTTACACTCTATGGGAATTTCAAAATATGTAATGTAGAGATTAAGTGGCGATCTTAAAAAGAGAGTTATTGCTTTAAGAAGATCCTGGTACACTGTGGATAACTAGAGCTCAGAATAACACACGTATATCCGCCAACTAATCAATTTTCGCTGATTTTAAACTTTTCTAGGACTAATTCGACATTTGATTATATATAAATAGTCTTACATAGATAGATAGATAGTAATGGAAATGCTAAGATCGGCTATTTCCATACAATTTTTCAAAAAATAGGTTTTTCATGTCCGCTGTTATCGCTCTTTCCAGTATTGATGGGAATTCCCTTCCTAACCTACTATTTGAAGTAGTGTGGAAAGTCAACATCTTGATTATATCATTATTTTCCCTTCCAATTACATGCGCTATTCATTTTAGTTGTTGCTACTGTTGAAAGTTTTCAAGTGATATGGTTTTTGTGATTTAGTAAATTTCTTTGTGATTCTGTAGCACCAATCTATAGAGTCTGATGAAGGGTTGTTTTGCTGTAGGGGACTCATTCCGTTGAAGACAATTTACAATCATAATAAAAACTGATAGCTATTATGGACTCTTTCTCTGTAGTTATATGTCACAATTTACGCGTTGTTTTGTTCGGGGAAAGCCACTTTTGCTGTTTATCATTTTAATGAATACTGCTTCAAATTAAGCTACATTTTCCGTTTACTATTGAGTCTCCAATCATTCTTTACTGATTACATTTGCGAAAGTAATTGGAATGAATGGGGAAAAAACTTAAAACATAATTAAACTGACGAATGAGGAACACGATAATAATTCATTTAACATAACTGATGAAATGGTAAATGTTGATTTATTAGAGTTCTCTAAGAGGCATAGAAATATACCTTGTCTGCAACTAAATGTGTCAAAGGGGTACAGTGGTGTTGCCTTCTGAAACCAGGCAGAGGGTGTGACTTCCTTCCATCTAAAACTGGTAAGCTGAAAGAGCAAATGAAATATGGCCGACGTGAACAAAGTTGCTGGGAATAGCGAAATCTTTCAAGTAATCTAATCGAAAACCGGCTTATCTAGTGGAATGAACAAGTGCTACTTGGCTTCTCTTACAAATAACCCTAACCTCTGTCTGATTTGGATGACTGCTAAATATACCAAGCTGTTTCCCCCCAAAAGGTACTCATACACATTCCCTTTATCTTTATTTAAACGAGCCAACTGTAAATATTTACTAATCTTAGCTTATTCTGCTATGTGGCTCCAATACTAGTGCATACGGTGAAGACTGAACTCACAACACCAGAATAGCTCTCCAAGGCTAGGTTGGTAGACATTGATCTACAGCAGGCATCGTCAGCTTAGTTTAGTGTAGTTTCAGTAGTGTATCCAATGAAACTTGAACTCCTTACACCAGTTGTGATCTACAAACTATTATTATGCAAAAGAAACAAGTCACATTAAATTAAACATCTTTCATCACAGGAGACGTCAATTTCAAGTTTATTTTTTGTTGTTTTCTCGCTATATTTTATCCAATGCAAAACTTGGGATCAAATCAAGGTAAAAGGTAACCCCGTTGTAATGATGAATTAGGTGTATGATATGAATGTAAGAGGTGGTGATGAAAAGTGAAGTTTATGAGGACAGGGAGGAAAGATGATGACTGATTTTTTACTTGAAGCGATTAAGATTGAAGCGTTCAGGTACGCTACGACAAGAGACTCTGTTCCACAACGTAGCAGTTCATAGTAAAATTTCTCTAAGTAAAATTTTCTTCTTACAACTTGAACACGAGGGTGGGAGAATGAGAGGAATTCGACTCCGTAGACGTAGCCTGACGTATCCTAACTTTAAAGGCCTGAACTAGTGGAACTAAAGAATGGAGCTCATCTGAACATTTTCCATGGAAATAATAATGGATGCAATATTTAATATGTGCACAAAATAGTAATCATGTGAATAAATATTTGGTACATGCTTTAAGATTTCCCCTCATCACGTCACTTTGGACTAATTCGAATCACATCGCTCTACAATAATGCTAAAATTTAGGCAACAAAATCTTGTCTATCATACTGGCAATAAGAAGTTTTCTTGATAATGACTTAGACGCTCGTAAGTACTTGAATAAAAAACAGAATAAAGCATGAACTTCGGAAAGTTTATCAACAATTTTGATCTCGATATACATCTTATTCTAAAATTGGAAAAAATACAGTAAAAATTAAACAGACAGATCTTATCGGTTGAATTTGACTTCAGACAGTTGATCCACAATTTTGAACACTGGAAAAAATAAGATAAAACATTAAGCAAACTGACTTTGTAGATTACATTTAACAAAACTTATTTGGAAGAATCCTTGCTGCCAAAATATTACTTGGGATTAGTAAAGTAGACATAGACCTATGGCAATGATCTTCAAATTAGTTTCGTCTAGTCGAGAAAAGTACTGCGCCCAGTGAGGAATGAACTCTCTACACCAATACTAGTCTATAAAATTAGCTTGGTAACCATTGTTCTATGGAAGTTATCCCCTGCTTAGTTTCGGCTGGTATTGTTTCACAATAGTAACACATCTATTGCAGATTTAAATCACTTCTGCAGAATGGGTCTACGAATTTAAGTTGATGCCTGTTGATCTTTGAAACTATATAGGCGTATTTACAATAATCCTGGTTTATCTGCAGTTTCGAGTTTATTGCTGTTTCAAGATACCGACGCAAACCTGAAACCATGGATTTTAACAAATACTAAGCATACTATACTATGCTTTGTCACGCTAAACAGAGGCTGAACAGCTATGCTATATGATAGTGAGGGAGAATTTCTTCACATATGAAGAAGTAATAAAAATGTGGCACTACAGAAGGATGCTAAGAATATTATTGACGGAACATTTCAGTAACGAGGAAGTTTTAAGGAAAATGAAAACAAAATGATACTTATATTTAGAATTAGAAAAAGTTGTGGGACATATAATGATGAAAGAAAGTTTGGAGAATGTTACAGGACATATTGAAGGTAAAAGCGGCGGGGAAAAATATCGAGTAACTTATCTAGCAGCTTTCTGTAAATGTATGCTAGGACAGGGAATGGTAGGGATAGTAAAAGGACAAATATT